TGCTGCAAGTGAATGACAAATGATTTATGCTGCAAGTGAATGACAAAGTGTCACATCAGTAATGTGCATAGCCCAGGTGAAAGAGGCACACCTTTTAGTTCAGGGAATACTTAGGACAGCACAATTTTGAAACAGAGATGAAAAATACTATTTCTTTACACCCCAAATGGTCACATTGAATGTTATGTCATGTACAGCCCTACTAGTGCAGAAGTAGTGGGACAGTCCAAGATCCCAGCCATGCGCAATAGCAAACTACAGCCTTGCTTGGCCTCATGCTGTACCAGCAGCACTATCACCTGTGCTTCCTTTCTTCTTCAGCCTCACCCTGGGGTATTTGGCAGTTGTTCTGTTGCTCCCAGCCACACAAAAACTTGATGACCCCAGGCACAGTACTCAGTCTTGTCCAGCTCCCTCTACTTCCCCACCAGCCAGGGTGGGTTCGCCTGTATAATCCCGTTGCCCTTTTGTCCCCCTAACATAATAGTTATAGGGCACTTGACAATGCCAGCCAGATTTCAGCATTACCCCGCAATTGAAGTTAATAAAGCTGGCTTTGTCATTTTAAAACCACTACAAGAATTGCCTGCAGCCTTTGTGTCAGAATATAATGCTTTAAAAATGTACATCCCTTTCACTTTCCTCCTCAGATTCTCACAAAGAGAAATTACCTGCTGGTTCTTTGGAGGTTCTGCTGCAGTACCTTTCGATAGTTGCCGTACTTCTTTCTGAATTTCAGCAAAAGCTTTATTTATCTTGCTCACTTTGTCAGCGTTTGCAATGTTTATCTGCAGGGAGAAAAAAAACAGCCCACATTGGTGTTCTAAACTGAAATTGCACTGGCATCATTTTTGTACAACTGTTAACTAGCTAATGTTATATGCATATCTTACAACATTACAGTAGGAATGTTTTTATACTAGAATTTCGGTTGTCAGTTATATTGCTGAGTCATGTACAAATGTTGGAATAAATACAGAATTATGAAAGTTGTCAGACTTGCTGTGTTGGGAAAGGAGCTCACACCAACCCACCGCACTCTGGGCAGGATCTTGGCCATACAACAGCACTTCACACTGCACCTGGTCCAGAAGCATGCCACACATCCCAAACTGCAGGCTGTCTCCTGCTATTCCAAAGGCTTTCATTCACATCTCAGCAATTTACATAGGCAGAAGCAAACTGTGCACTGTTAGACATATTTATGCCTTTTGCCTTCAAAGCTGCTGTAATTTCAGACATTAACAATAATTCCATTCATTCCTGAGACAGCAGCCAGGAGGACCAGCAGTAAGAAAGTGGGGGCACGAGGCCAATAAAACAATCTATTTAGATTAGAGGATAATTGATAATAAACTATAGGTTGACTCAAGAAATACAGGTTCAGCTCCTTGCTCAAATTAGAGTATATGGGGCTGTGGGCAATTCAATTTGCTTAGGCCTTCTCTTTTCCATGAGAGCCTGTTGGCAGCTCCCAGCTTCAGCAGTGCCGAAAGTGTCAGTTTGTGTTCCAAATACCCTTTGCACTCAGGCAGGAACTGCTCTGCGGAACGAGGCTCTGCAGCTGGGATGTGTGTCTGCATCAAAAGCTGTTTGAATAGTTACTATGGAGTCTCACTGAGGAACAAACCCATTTAAACACATTTTTTTGAGCATTTTTACAGTACTACTTAAAGATACGTAAATCCCCAAAGGCTTAATGAATTAAAGAATACAGCTTCAAACACACAGAATAAAATTTTACTCCTAATAAGCTGCTGAGTTCTCACGAAGATGCTTTTAAGCCTGTTCCTCCTTTTATTATACAGAGCCCTTTAGACTAAGTGCAGATTTCACGCCAGCAACGTGAAATTGTTTCGTGGCTCCCTGTTTATTTCCACAGTTTGTTGTGTTCCTGTCTGTCAGCCAGATTAACCTGTCAGGTGGCTTTCTCTTGCAGAATAAGATCTCAAAGGGCCTTTTTTAGGAGCTGCCACTTCCTTCTGCATAGCAGGCCAAGTGGTGTGCAGTGAGGGGCAGCGCCTCAATTCCCTCGTTGTAAAAAGTTTTCCTTATATCTAGTCTAAATCTCCTCTCTTTTAGGTGGAACCCATTTCCTCTTGTCCTACCACTACAGACCCGCTAAAGAGTCTGTCCCCTTCTTTCCTGTAGCTCCCCTTTAGATACTGACAGGCCGCTCTCAGGTCACCTCACAGCCTTCTCTTCTCCAGGCTGAGCAGCGCCAGCTCTCTCAGCCTGTCCTTACAGAAGAGATGTTCCCTCCGTGGATAATTTCTGCGGCCCTCCGGACACGCTCTAGCAGGCCCACCTCTCCTGCGCCGAGCTCTCCCCGCCCGGACGCAGCACTCCGGCCGCTCTCCCATCGCAGCGCAGTCCGCAGCGCACCTCGCCCCGCTGCTCGCGCGGCTTTTGATGCAGCCCAGGAGAACCGCGGCCGCGACCTCAGCACGCGCAAACCCGCAGCCCCGGGGAAACCGCGGAGCGGCTCAGCCCCGCCGGCTCCCGCTCACCTTTCTCAGCCCGGAGGTGACGGGCCGCGCCCGGCCCTTCCCGCGGGCCTTCCCGGCGGCAGCGCCGCGGGCGATAGCGAAAACGTTGGCCGACTTCGCCGCCTTCCGCGCCCGGCTCTTCCCCATGGCCGCCGCCGCGAGCAGCCGGCGCGCGCCTGACGTCACGACTGAGCGCCGGGGGAAGCCCTGACGTCACCGGCCCGGGATTCCCCTCCGCGGGGCCGCCGTTCGCAGCGCGTGCGATGTTGAGGACGGGCGGCGGCGCCGGGCCGGGCGGGGGGAGAAGCAGCGCACGGCGGCAGCCCCTCGGCACGCAGCTGGAACACACAGAAGCGTTTCCGTGTGTGCTGCGCGGGGCCGCATCCCGCCGGGGGCCGCCGGGCGATGGGGCACTGGGAGCCGCCCCGCCGGGCTGTGGGGGTTGGGGTGGCCCCGAGGGGCCGCGCCGCGGGGCAGGGCCGGGCCGGGCGGGCCGCTTATCGCGGCGGGGCGTCGCCGCACGGCGCCTTCAAAGCGGGCGGAGGGGCCGGCGGGGCCGCTTCTCGCGTCTCGCTTCTCGTCCCATCGCGTCGCGTCGCGTCCCGAAGCCGGAGCCATGCTGCACTGGGGATACGACGAGCACAACGGTACGGGCGTCGGGGCCGGGGACGGAGGCTGCTGTCGGAGCTGTCCGGAGCTGCCCGGGGAAGGGGCGGCCCGGCGAGGCGCGGAGCTGCGAATCCGGCTCTGCTCCTGTCCCCGCGGCGCGATCCAGGCGCGTCCCTGTGCGGGGTTCCCTGTGTTGCATCGCGGTGCGGGCGTTGCCGGCGCTGTCTCTAGCTCCGGCCGTGTCCCGTTCTGCTGCGCGATGCCGCGATCGGGGTTTGTCGTTTCACTCCCACGGGGAGATGCTTTGGGGTCTGGGATGTTTCGTGCTTCCCTTCATCTCAGCGATCTTGGAATCGCCGAGGTGCTCCCAGCGGAAAGCTCAATGCCGCTGCTCTGCTTTGATCCGTAACTCGTGCAGACGCTGCTCTTGTGCTGTGTGCTCCAGTGCATGCAGATGGGAATGGGAGAGCTCCTGGACCCGGCTGGAAACACACAAATAGCACAGCTTGTATCGTGTTAGTGCACAGGGCAATAAGGCACTGTGACAGCAAAAACAAGAAATATATATTGACATGAATTTATGGCATGGAGCTGCCATGACTCCATGGGTGGGGGTTAGGGACAAGTTCTATACCAGAGGGTGGTGGGCATGGAACAGGCTGCCCAGGGCAGTGGGCATGGCCTGAGTGCCGAAGTTCAGGGAGCATTTGGACACTGCTCTCAGACCTTTTCGGATGGTTCTGTGTGGAACCGGGCGTTGTACTCAGTGATCCTTGTGGCTTCCGTCCAACTCGGGGTGTTTTGTAAATCTGATTCTATGTGCTAGTGCACACAGCAGTGGTACTGCTCAGAGCTTCCCTTTGTGGTGTTTTTGTTCCCTCTCCGCTGGAGTGGATGCGCCATTCCCAAAGAACTGGGTGGCAGTGGACAGCTACAGTGCCACAGCAATTGAGTGCTGTCTGCTGCTGTGTGCTCTCCCCATCCCCATTAGAAGCTGATGACTCTTGTTTTTTTCATGTGTTTCTCCCTGTGTTTTCCAAGGATGCTGCAAACTTAACTTGCAGGGCACAGATAAGCAGTCCCTGTCCCTCTCTTATCCTGGCCCTCCTTCTGGCTTCTAGGAAGGGGAGGGCACCAGAATTTCTATCGGGCTGGTCCTGGACCCTCCTGAGGCCCCTTTCTCCCCCAAGCCCTGTTTACTGGCTGATAACATGTTTGGGTGGAGTTTGGCTCCCCACTCTTTTTCAGCTCCTGGCCACTGTGAGGTGGGCTGTATCCCAGCATCCCATCGCCTGCCCCTCAAACCCACAAGAGAATAAAGGAGAGAGGTTGGGTGTCCTACACCTGACTGCCCTTCCCTAGCATCAGCTCTATTTCTCAACTCTTTCCATGTATTTCTTGCATTAGTTTTGCCAGTTGTTCAACTGAACAGTGGAAGCATGAGATTGCTGTGCCTTTTGCACCATATTTTTTGCCTGCATGGCCCTGAATAGCTTCTCTAAAACTGAGATCTGCTTTTGCTACTCGGGAGGTAGCAGCAGAGTGAAGTTAATTAAATTGGATGCAGTTGTATATTAAAGTTGACTTCCTGAAGAGTGGGGGAACTGTCTGCATTCACTCTGACCTCAGCATTTGTTACTTGCAGGGATAAAAGCCCTGTTTCTTTTTTAACTGGGGAAAAACTCGTTTGCCCCTTAGCAATAAGTGCTGCTTAAATCACTTTGTGCATAAACCATCAAATATTACAGATCCCTGTCTGCGTTTACAGTGTATCTACGTACAAGGCTGACTGGTATGCAGAGAATGAAACCTTCCTCACTGCTTTGATGCACATATTTCTGAAATGCTAAGAGGCACTATTTTATTTCCATGCAAACCTTGGCCTTTGTTTCCTTGCCGTTCTCCTTACCTCATGGTTCTAGCAGTGCTTACACAGAGGCATAACGCTGAGATCTTGGGCACTGGCTGCAGTGCAGGGCAGAAATTCCCACTTTAGTTAGGACACCAAGTGAGAATCCACTGCCTTAAGTTTACACCTTGCTTGATGTGGAATTAATTATGTGGAAAGTATTATATATACTGTGCTTTTTTGCAGACATGTCACTGCGTCTCTTCCAACCCTTACACTGAGGTGTTCTGTAAAGAAAAAGGGATGTGATAGTTTTGATATCTGTAGTAAAAAAACAGCACTGCATTTTGCCCGTTATTAATTTTGCCCATTATGTATTTTCAATTGTTTTAAGTAGAGCTAATATTATAGGAAATGAATATGTAACTGGATGACTTGCAAGCATTTTGTGTTTTCACCTGTACATATGGTATATTTATGCAAGTATAGAGGCTCACTGCAACCAAACAATGTCCCAGAATGTGTCTGCCATCATATTGAAATGGAGACATGTAATCCAGGTCTGAATTTAGATGAAATTTCAGTGCTGAAGTTCCCACTGGTTTAAGTCTGGTTGTATGACATGCATTTGAGTGTCGTGTCTGTGGACTTACAGATACAATGACATATTTTCCTGCAGTCATACAAAATGCTTGCTTTGGGATGGGGTCAGTAGAAATGAGCTGAGCCAGTTTTCCCAGTGTTACAGGAGTTGGATTGCAGTAGGATTGCTGTAGATGTTCTAGTAAGGAATATCGCTCAATAAAACAAGGTGATATAAAAGAAGTGTAAATCTCTTTTCACTTTCCTGCATATGTAAGGACAGATTTCTGGCAATCTTGTGTTACTGGCAGGTGAAAATGTGGCTTTGGTCATCCGAGCCAAGGACAAACACCAAGGCAGGTGCAATGACTTGTTGATGACTAAATGAAAAGTTTATTGCTGAATAATTGTCTAATGTTAGAGTCACATACCTAGGTCTTCTTTTTGTCCCGTGTTTATTATTTATGAATGCAAATCACTCATTATTTACTGTACAGTACCTATAGTTATTGCTGAGATAGAGCAGCAAGTCCAAGTAGTTAAATATATTTTACTTCAGTATATCCTAAGTATTAAAATTAAGTAGCAATATGCTTTTCCTAAGCATCCTAAAATGAAGCACCAGGTATGACTCATAGAGTAAATGCTTCTTCAGTGACTAGAACTGTGCAGTGCATGTCTAACTGCAAGGTACTAGCATCCAAGCACAACTAAAACTATATTGTTTGCTAAACTGTAGTAAATCAACATATTGAATGGTTTTGACCACCATTTGTGAAATGAGAAGAATTAAGTTTACACAGCTTTGTATTTCAAATGAGCAGTGTTTTGCCTAATGGGTTAATTAAGTCATTAGCAATTACTTTGTAACAAAGTCAAGACCAAAGGCCTTTGTTCTTCTTGAAGCCTAAGCCTTGGCTGCTCTGTGCAAGAGACCCCTCAGCTCTCACATCCCCTGCTCGGGGCAGTGAGCCCAGGTGGGAGCCAGCTCTGCTTCCCAATTCACTGCTGCATGCCGGGACTATCCCAGCACCTGCAGATTTCTGAGCTATGTTCACTACTGTTGAAATCCAGGACAGAAAACTATCTGACTCCTTTTGATGTGAGGCTATTAATCATAGTGTACTACAACCTAAGCTTTTCTTTGCCATTTTGTTTATTGAAGTACTGAGACGTACAGAGAGATTCAAAATTGGATTGATTTTTGGGATGAGATCAGTTACCTTTCATATAGGGATTAATGATTTCTGGTTGTACAGATTTACAAGCTGAGTTTCTGGTGCTTGTATTTAAGTTTCTGTAATATCTGTTTTTTCTTAGTTAAGTGAATTATTATGCTTCTCACCCATGCTAAGCCTCAAGGAAAAAACAAGTGCTATGCTCTTTATAATACTGATAGATCATTAGCACTGCACATGGCCTTTCAGTATCTAGAAGGGGGTTATAAGAAAGAAGGGAACAGACTTGTTAGCAGAGTCTATTGTGATAGGACAAGGGGAAATGGTTTCAAACTAAAAGAGGGAAAATTTGGATTGGATATAAGAAAGAAGTTTTTTACAATAAGGGTGGTGAAGCACTGGAACAGGTTTGCCCAAGGAGGTGGTGGAACCCCATTCCTGCAGACATTAAGCAAGGTATGTGAACGGATCCCAAGAGCTGCTGTTGTGACACAGAGCAACAAAAGTAACTGAATATTTTGATCTGGGTTTTTCTGTTGAACTCATTTGGAATTTAAAATAACGCAAGCAAGAAAAATTCAGGCTTATCATTCTTTTGGCTTATGAAGCTTCTCCAATACTTCACAGGGCCTGCCCACTGGAAGGAGGTTTTTCCTGTCGCTAATGGAGATCGGCAGTCACCAATTGACATCAAAACTGAGGAAACCAAGTATGACCCCTCTCTCCGTCCTCTAAATCCCAATTATGATCCAGCTTCTGCTAAAATCATCCTGAACAACGGGCACTCCACCAGCGTTGAGTTTGATGACACTGTGAACAAATCAGGTTTGTTCCTTTCCTATTGCATTGTTTTCTTCCCCCATTTCCTGAATGGAGCGCAGTCTGGCCGTATCTCTCAGCCAGATGTGACCTCCTCAAACCAGTAAGGCTCTGCTCCTC